TTTTTTTTTTTTTTCAACGTTTATTTATTTTGGGGACAGAGAGAGACAGAGCATGAACGGGGGAGGGGCAGAGAGAGAGGGAGACACAGAATCGGAAACAGGCTCCAGGCTCTGAGCCATCAGCCCAGAGCCCAATGCGGGGCTCGAACTCACGGACCGCGAGATCGTGACCTGGTTGAAGTCGGACACTCAACCGACTGCGCCACCCAGGTGCCCCTGCATGACCTTTTTTTTAATAGAAGATAATTTGACCAAATAGGTGGGCCTTTCCTCAAAAATGGTACTCTTTTTTGACATCTCAGCATTTTGTTTCTGAAATGGTCGTTAAAATGAGAACAACTATTTCAGGCTTTGGAGGCACAAATTTAAGTAAATATAAGTAAGTAAATATATATATATATATCTTAAAAAAATTTTTTTAACGTTTATTCATTTTTGAGAGAGAGACAGAGTGCAAGCAAGGGTGGGGCAGAGAGAGAGGGAGACAGAATCCGAAACAGGCTTCAGGCTCCAATCTGTTGGCGCAGGGCTCGAACCCACGAACTGTGAGGTCATAATCTGAGCCAAAGTTGGACACTTAACCCCCCAGGCGCCCCAATGTGTGTGTGTGTGTGTGTGTGTGTGTGTGTGTGTGCGTGTGTGTATACATACACACACACACACATATATATGTGTGTGTGTATGTATACACACACATATATGTACATATATACATATATATGTATATATATGTACATATATGTGTGTGTGTGTGTGTATATATATATAGTTAAGTAAACATAAACACACATGTATTTACACTGTACTGTCTATGTGCATAATGTAGTTCAACTAAGTTCCCAAGGGACATTTTCAAAGTTGATTTTAAATTTAAGACTGCTTGTAAGAGGCCAATTTATAGGTTAAGGCTGATACGATTTTAGAATTGTTTCTAAAATCTCAGAAGAGGTTTGGTCTTTCTACCATTTCCTGAGGTATCTTACATTTTTCTCTAATTAACGGATGCTTTAAAACTAATTTTAGTGTCTATTTAGGGAGATGAAAAGACTCTGGAATTAGACAATGGTGATTGTTGCACAACCCTACAAATATACTGAAAACCGTCAAGTTGTACATTTATATTTATTTTTGTCCACATTTATGTTTTTTAGTAGGCTTCATGTCCAGCATGGAGCCCAGCATGAGGCTTGAACTCAAGACTGTCAGGTCAAGACCTGAACTGAGATCAAGTGTCGGACGCTAAACTGACTGAGCCACCCAGGCGCCCCCAAGGTGTACGTTTTTAAATCGTGCAGGGATTTTATGGCATGTTCATGATCACTCCGTTAAAAACAAGATAAAACCAATTTTAACATCTGTTGTCACCTCGTCTTTTCAGATGTCACTCTGAACAACCTTCGCCACATCTCTGGGCTGGTGAGAGGTGGCTGGCAGCATCAGAGTGTGGATGGCGGCTGGGGGGTGCCCAGCCAGACCAGATGGTCCCGGTCTACCTTCTAGCTCTGTTAGTTACTCTGCAAGCTCACTGGCTGTGGAATGTTAGGCAAATGACTTAGCCAAAGCACTGGTTTCCTCGTCTGGGGCCAGGAAAGCCACAGCACTCACTAGGTGTGATCGCGCGTGGAAAGCGCACCAGATGCCAAGTGCTGTAGTATCTGTGCTGGGAAACTATGCTGGGAAAATGTAATTCCCTGAGGTTTTTTTCTCTCTGAATTAGTAGCTGTGACCTGTAGAGTTTTAAAAAAACAACTATGCGTGGTAGCAGCATTTTTACCATGGCATCTTCTAGAAGCAGGCATCTGTATTTGTTAAGCATCGCTTGGGTCCTTTTTAGGAGCTGAGTGGCAACTGTTTCAAATTCGTTGTCGACTTAAAAAAAAAAAAAAAGGAGAGAAAGAGAGAAAATGGTAAGACGGTGCAAATCACCACTAGGGCTTTTCTTTCTTAGGCCCGAAATGCATTACTCTTCCATTGCTCAAACCTGTCTTGTCTGTGACAGTTTTCTCTTCCTAGATTAGCTTTCCTTGTTTAAACAAGCTTCTGCGCTGCTTTTCTCACGGTCCATTGTTATGTGATCAAGCAAGTCATTTCAATACTAGCTTATGTTAACTTAAATCAGGAAGCCAAAAGCATAACTCTTTTAACATCACCTATAAAGGAAAACCATGTAACACAGACGTGCAATAAATATCAATGAACAGAGAATGATCTGCTGGTCTAGGTGGCCGTACCCCCTCTCCCTTCAATGGTATGAAAGACGAAAACAGTTGAAACAACACAGTCCTGCTGTCTGGGGTGGGCCGACTGGTTTTTATGTGAGGACACAAACTAGTTCATGATATCCTGCAGGTCATGGTGCAGTGGCTCTGGCCTTTGCCTGCCGGTCTCCAAAGGTTTCACATTTTCTAATCACTCCGAGTCTTCACATCCCTGTATAATGCGGGATCTGGACCCTATTCCCGGGAACTCCCAGGGAAGCTCCCAGGGGACTGACAGGGACACCACTGTACTCAGATCAGAGACCCCAGCCAGGGAAGCAAGACCAGTGGCAGCCGAGGGAGGGATTCAAGCAGTGGAAGGGAACTACCAGAGTCCAGGCTTGGGGACGGTGGTGGGAAGGGTGGCGGGGAGGGCGGGTCCAACTCCGTTGTGCATCTATCTGTGAGAGGCATCGTAATGGCGGGGTTCCAGGTTGGTAATGGGGCTCCCAGCCTTAATCTTTTTTGCCAGTTTCTTGACATACAGCAATGCCCTAGACTCACTTTGGAACCTTGAAGAATGCTTGTGAGGGCTAAAGTATCTCTCTAATTCATAAAACTGGTAGTAGCAGCTAAGGGTATGCAATCTGCCTCAATACAAGAAATCACTGGCTAGAGTACCTGCTTCCGAGGCATCCCGCCTGCAGCCAGTAGTCCAGACAATGCTTTGGACTCCCTGCCCCCAAATCTGTCAATAAAATACTCTGACATCTGTATATCCCTTCACAGAATATTGAGAAGAGTAAGTCACATAACCCTAAACATGGACCGGGAGATTGAGTAAACTGGGAACAAGTTAGGTCTGTGATTAAAAACACTAACGTGCCTACTGTATGGGAGCTACGTGGCTCTCGCTCTTCTGTGGGGCATCCATAGGATGGTGTCTGGTGTCACAGTGGCACTCTGGGGTTACAGCCTGTTTACCTTTCTTCAAGTCTTCCTCGGTGGGCATGGAGCCCTGGCACACGTGGTAGGAGAGTAGCCTCTGCACTGCATCACTTAGTGATCGGAACTGACTTTTATCAGGTGTCACAGCGTGGGCTTGGTCCCTTTGTAACTGCTGGAGAATGCTTTAAAAGAGAAATTGCCCATGTCAGTGGAGATCCATGGTAGGAAACCTAATTGCGATTTGCATGCAAAGAAATTAAGACCTACAGGAATGTTATTATTCACAGTATGGCAGCTCTGTTTTTTTACTTCATAGGCGTTTACCAAACCATGCTTCTCCCAGAGACCCTTCAGCCAATCGAAGGGTATGTGGCATGCTGGAAAGACCAAGAACTATTCTTCTTAAGAACAAAAGAGCCGGGGCGCCTGGGTGGCGCAGTCGGTTAGGCGTCCGACTTCAGCCAGGTCACGATCTCGCGGTCCGTGAGTTCGAGCCCCGCGTCAGGCTCTGGGCTGATGGCTCAGAGCCTGGAGCCTGTTTCCGATTCTGTGTCTCCCTCTCTCTCTGCCCCTCCCCCGTTCATGCTCTGTCTCTCTCTGTCCCAAAAATAAATAAACGTT